ATTAAAATAAATTTAAAATAACAAAATAATAATTATTTTAAAATAAAAATAGTATCACACATTTATATCATGGTTCTTATAATATTTTAATAAAGTATTTTAAATAATTATAAATTATAATTTAAAGATTTTGAATTTAAGGTTAGATGATGTACTAAAAAAATTTAGAATCATTTTCCTAAATAGAGTCTAGTCTTAATGGAAGTTTTAAAATAATTTTCTCAAACTACCTAGTCAATCTTAAAGGGAAAAAAGGATTTATAAGAGCAACTTTCGAATGTGAAAGCAAAAACAATTGACTATTTAGTTGGGATTTTTGAATTTTGATTAATTGTGATTGAATGTGACAGTTTCCCGCTAGTCATATCTACCGTTCAGAACAAACATTCTGTTCCCCACCAATTGGTTGCAGGCATGTGCATTATCTGTTTTCATGGTAACGTACCCAAATACTTTAATATAATAATTGCACCTTGTTAATAATTTAATTAGTTAAGTGAAAATTACCTTGTGACAGTAATAAGAAGTGATAAATTTGAATCGTGTAATATATATAATATTAAAAATTATGAGAGTGTTATTTTTTATTATATAATATTTACAATAAATAATAATAATAATAATAATAATAATAAGAGATTGATATTTGTTAGTTGAATTTCTAAAAAACTAAGGGAATAAATATCTTTAAATTATATTATTTAATTAAAATATTATGAGAAAGAAAAAAAATCAAATTTGGTTTTAAAATATATTATTTTAGTTTTTTCATAATAATTTATTCAAATAATGTAGTTTTTTAGTTTTTTTTTACTTAATTTTTTAGAGACCTAACTGATAAATATTTTTTTATAATAATAATAATAAAAATAAAATAATAATTTCATCTTTGAACAAAAAAGAACCAACACCCATTATTTACATTACAATTTGCAATACAGGTTGATGCTCATTTTTCTAAATTTTCCATCCTTTCCCCTCTAATTTTTTTGATAATTAAATAAAAAGTTTTTTTTTCTTCTCTTTCTTTTTGTTCTTCACAACTCAAATATACTATTAAAATTTAATATAATTTGAAATGGAGGGCTCTCATTTTCCTTCTCTCACTTTCCCTCATTTTGATAAATAAGTAAATTAAAATAAAAAATAAACTTTTTTTTCAAGATTAATGTTTTAATAATATATTACGAGAAAAATTTAAAATATTTTTATTTTTACTTTAAAAATAATTAAAATATTTTAATTTTTTTTAATAAAATTTTATTAAAATGATATAGTCTAAAAATATTTTTTCACCTAATTTTTTACAATACAGGTTGATACTCATTTTCAAAATTTTTCATTCTCTCCCCTTTAATTTTTTTTTATAATTAAATAAAAAGTTTTTTTTCTTCTCTTTCTTTCTGTTTTTCTCAACTCAAATATATTATTAGAATCTAATATAATTTGAAATACAAAATATGATTCTCTAAAGGAGCGTCTGCTGAGGGAGGGAAATTTCTTTTCAAATTTTCTTTTTCACAGAATTATTTACACATTTTTACATTTTAATATTACAACAAAAGAGAATAAAAATGATATTTTAATGTTTTTACT